TGTGGACGTTACATCATCACATTGGGACGTCACATGGTGATGCTCTGCTTTTTTGGGCAAAACTCTATGATTTTAGGCAAAAAAACCCCATAGAGTTTTGCCCAACAGGCAGAGAGCTGTTGTGCAACATCCCCGACCTGATGATGTCACTTCTGCATGACATCATGACATCTGGATGCCACACAATGTCCCCACCCACCCCTGGACTGCCCCCCACCCAAATCCCCCTTCTGGCAAGCCGAAAGGACCTGGCAGTCCTATCCATAAGAACGTAAGAGATGCCAATGTTGGATCAGGCCAAAGGCCCATCCAGTCCAACACTTTGTATCACACAGTGGCCAGAAATACCAGGTGCCATCAGGAGGTCCACCAGTGGGGCCAGGACATTAGAAGCCCTCCCACTGTTGACCCCCCCAGGCACCAAGAAGACAGAGCACCCCTTGCCCCACTCCGGATTATTTACCAATGTTTCCAAAAAATGAATCTTCTTCAGGAGATATTATAGAGGTGCCAAAGCTCTCATTTTCATAAAAGTTAGACAACAAGTCTTAAGCATATCACAATTCAGATAGGACGCTGATCTCAATTAACACTCAGTGTTTTTTCTGGATCCTGGGCGTCACATGGTGATGCTCTGCTTTTTTGGGCAAAACTCTATGGTTTTAGGCAAAAAAACCGTAGAGTTTTGCCCAACAGGCAGAGTGTCGCTGTGCAACATTCCCGACTTGATGATGTCACTTCTGCATGACATCATCACATTGGGACTGCCCCCCCCAAATCCCCCCGCTGGCAAGCCAAAAGGACCTGGCGGTCCTATCCAGGGCACAACTAGGGAGCTCGGCTAGTCTCCAAGGCCTGCAAGCCTCCAGGGTAGCTGGGGTTGCTAACTTCCAGGTGGGGCCTGTAGATTCCCTCCCCCCTTCCCCAGGCAGCAAAGGGCCTACCTTGATCAGGACAGAATCCCCATTTGCGGTCGTCATCGTAGTTGCTAGTTGTGGAGCACCACATTTTCCCATCTTGACGTCCAGAACTGGTACACGACTCATACTTATTCCCAAGGAAGGTGAAAGGAAACGTACAGGGCTCTCCTTCGGAATTCCCACCGACTGTGGACATCGCTGTGAGGAAGGCCATATAAGAGTAATCGTCAGAAAACACTGCTGTTTTTACGTCTGAGATTAACCCCTGTCTGCTCTCCCATATGATCCGGACAAAACAGCCAACCTTTTTTTAGCAAGCTTCACAATAGCAACTGGGAATGACCCATTAGAACATACAAAGAGCAGCGCTGGATCAGACCAGTGGTCCATCTAGTCCAACATCCTGTTTCACACAATGGCCAACCAACTCCTCTGGAGGTCCAACAACAGGGTATAGAGGCTGAGGCCTTCCCCTGATGCTGCCTCCTGGCACTGGTATTCAGAGGTTTATTGTCTCTGAATGTGGAGGTTCTCTTTAGCCACCATGGCTAGTAACCACTGATAGACCCATGCGCCATAAATCTGTCTATTCCCCTTTAAAAGCCATCTATGCCTGTGGTCATCACTACATCCTCTGGCAGTGATTTCCACCAGTGCAAGGTGTCCAAGACCCGTAAGAACTCATTTTCTAAGGAACAGCAGTTAGCCTTGCGGGGACCAGTTTTCACATTCATGTTTAGCTTGAGTCTGACTGGGTAGCATCCGATTGTCAGCCAAGTAACTTCCTTTAGCAGAGCACATGAACACACATGAAAACACATGAAGCTGCCTTATACTGATTCAGACTATTGCTCCTTCAAGGTCCATCGATTGGTCCATTGGTCAGGCCATTGGTCAGATCACTGGTCCATCAATCGTCTACTCAGACTGGCAGTGGCTCTCCAGGCAGAGGTCTTTCACTTCACCTCCTGCCTGGTCCTTTCTAAGTGGAGATGTTGGGGATCGAACCTGGGACCTTCTGCATGTCAGGCAGATGCTCTACCATTGAGCCACAGCAAAATAACACTATCAGGTAGCTAGCATGGTGTACTGGTCAGAATGCCAAATCACAATTGAGAAGTTTCAGGTTCAGATCTCCACCCTGCGGTGCAACTCACAGAAATAGCCTTAGGGCAGTTTGCCTTCCGACCTCACAAGGATATTGTGAGGACAAAATAGGAAGGTGGAAGCTATATTTGCCGCTCTGAGCTCCTTGGAGAAACAACTTGACAAAAACATGGCTGAGAGGTTGCGTGGTCCCCACAACATCATATAAGATTGGCATAGCAAAGAGATTATTTTTTCGTCGAATAAACCCTAAAGAAATAGGGAAAGTATGCTACCTGTTTCAGGACAAAACCCAAATTTCTTATCACGGTCATAATCTTCAGTGGTGCTACACCATCGGTATCCGTCTGTCCTCCCTTCTGTTGTACAGCTGTTGTAGGAGGTACCTTGGAAATTGAATGGGAACTTGCAGGGCTTTCCATCCGAATTTCCACCCATTGTAAAAAGTGCTGAAAGAACAGGGAGGGGGGAAAAATAAAGAGCTTTAAAAAGATGCTTTTTGCTAGTCTATGAGCTGTTCTGTATCTAAACACGGGAGACAAGACAGCATTGAACAGACATGATCACACGAAATTGCCTTATAAGGAATCAGATTATTGGTCCATCAAGTTTAGTATTGTCTACTCAGTATTGTCTACTGAGATTGGCAGTAGCTCTCCAGGGTCTCAGGTAGAGGCCTTTCACATTTGGTTGGCCCCTCTGTGTGTAGAATAAAGTGTGTGTGTGTATGCTAAGTGTTGTCAAGTCAATTCTGACTCATGGCAACCCTAGAAATTAATGACTTCCCAAATATCCTATTGTTAACTGCATTCTTCAAATGGAGGGCCATGGATTCCATGGCTGAGTCAACCCATCCAGTGAGTCTTGCCTTCTCATAATACCCCGGGACCCTCTGCCAGTCAAGCAGAGGATCTGCCACTGAGCCATGGCTTCTTCCCTATGAAATTTTATTGTATTAGCCATTGGCCATAACAAAACAAAAATACACACACACCCATGTACATTACATTAAGATATCCCTTCACTGACTTGCGCTGAATCCTAACCTTAATCTTAACTTTTTTGCCGCCAAAGCAAATAAGGACATTCTGCTGGTAACATGTACATCCGTATCTGAGAGCAAAAAACAACCAACTCCTGTTTTGAGAATCCATTGTGCAAAGGTAGGATAGGGTACATAAATCTCTGCCTAAGTAATTCGTGCCATGAGCATCTCAGTAAATAGTGCTCAATATCATCCACTTCGCCCAAACCACATTGGTAGATCCTTGAGGCAACAGGTAGACCCATAAAGCGACCAATACAAACCATTGAGGGAATGGCATGGAATCTGAGGGCTGTAAATTGCCCTTCTTAGGTCAAGAGTGGTTAATTTCTCTAAATAGCCAGTCCTACCATGATCTCTTTTAAAGATCTTAAACAAGGGGGCCGTTCGGCAACTTGCTACCGCATGAAGCTGCAAAAGGCCGTCTATATGAAATACCCATTCCTTCAATATGCCAGCCAAGCAGAGGTTCATCCCCTATGCCATTTCCTGTCATTATTCTTACAAAGATTGTTTTCCCCTACGCAGAGGTTCATCCCCTATGCCATTTCATGCCATTATTCTTACAAAGATTGTTTCCCCCTACGCAGAGGCTCATCCCCTATGCCATTTCATGTCATTATTCTTACAAAGATTGTTTCCCCCTATGCAGAGGCTCATCCCCTATGCCATTTCATGTCATTATTCTTACAAAGATGTGGGGAGGGGAAGTGAAAGGAGTTTGTAAGCTGCTCTGAGACACCTTTGGGTAGTGAAGGGCAGGGTATAAATCCAATCTCTTTTCTCTTCTTCTAACAGGCTGTGAAAGCAGCTACATGTATGTCCTTCTTCCCCTTTTTTGCTGCTTGGTAGTGACCTGGCCACCATATCAGTCAGAGTATATAGGGGGTGGGGGGGGATTTTGCCTTGACTTGGACGGCGCAGCCAGCCTGATCTCTTCAGATCTTGTCAGCTTAGCCAGGTCGGCCCTGGTTAATACTTGGATGGGAGACCACCAAGGAAGCCCAGGTTTGCTACTCAGAGGCAGGCAATGGCAAGCCACCTCTGCTGTTCTATCTTCACTACCTGGCATTACATGTTATGGCACACATGGCCCAGCCCCGTAACAATTGAGTTTAACACCTCTGCCCTACAGGATTGCCATAAACAGGGGTCATTTCATAGAAAAAGTCCATTATGGCTTCAGCACAGCAGAACAGCCTCACCTGCAGCAGTCAAGCATCGTGGGAACATCTGCCCAGCACTGCACTGCACTGCCTCCCCAGTCCGCCTCTGTGGGTTTTCCTCTGAACCCCCCTCCCACCCCAGGGAGCCTTGCAGTGAGGACACACCAACTCGAAGCTTACCAGGTGCTGTCCTTTATAGAGTTTCTATCTTTACTACCTGGCATTACATGTTATGGCACACGTGGCCCAGCCCGACAAAGAGACATTTACGTGAGATCTGTCCCTCATAACAATTGAGTTTGACACCCCTGCCTTACAGGATTGCCATAAATCAGCTGCAACTCATGGGCTCTTTCCTCCACAGAGGATTTTGGCCAACTGCATCGAAGGACAAAGCATTTGGAGCAAAGAGATGTCAGGCTAGCAAACACTGCCTAAGCTTGCATTTCAGTTCATTCTTCGGGAAGTCTTGCCCCTGAAGACTGACGGGGAAAGCAGGCCGATAGAATGATGACTCACCAGCTAGCTAAGCTTCTTGTGTCTGCATTTTAACACACTTTATTAGCTGAACCATAAACAAGTTGTGCAAAACAATTTAGCCCAACATTGCTTCATACAGGAATAATTATTGCATCAGTCCCAAAATCAGGTCCTTTGATTTGGTCTGTTGGTAACAAATGGCACACCGGGGGTGGGGGTGGGGGGTGGATCCAAGATAATTGTTTTTCTAATCATTTTCTTTAGCTCTTTTTGCAACATTGATACCACCGATTATTTTTTAGTGACGAGATTGAGGCCATTATTATTCTAATATGTGAGAATGTAAAGGCAAGCCACGCTGGATCAGACCAAAGATTCATTTGATGTATCATCCTGCTACACCCAATGACCAAACAGAGGCCCTCAGAATCAGTGTTCCCTCTAAGCTAAGTTAGTGTGAGGTAGCTCACAGTTTTTTAGCCTCTGGCTCACGCATTTTCATCTTAGCTCAGGAAGGATGGCTCCAAAGCAAACTAAGGCTGTGGTCACATGGCAAGCGTACCATAATTTGTTCCCACTGTAGATTTGATCGGGGATATTTTAAAGCAGGTTCACATGATCACACATCCCTTGCCCAACCGCTTGCTTTGCGCAACAATGCTCCAGGCACTGTCCAGACAGCCACGCCACCCAAGTGGTGGCACAGCACAACTAAAAAAAAAATATATCTTGGTGCATACGCATATCTGCATGTGCATATGTGCACATATGTGCATGCGCATAATGGTGAAAGTCGCAAAAACACCCCACCCCTACTGGAAGAAGGATGTTCAGATGACCTAATCGCAATCATTGCGAGAGATGGCTTTCCAGATAGGCAAAATCGAGGATTCAAAGCACAAGTACCCGGAAAGTACTTGATTTTCCTGGTGTTGGAAAACACGCTAGGGAACCGGAAGGATCGTGTGAGTGAGCCCACTTCGGTGCAGGAGACAGATGTGGGTATCTGATCAGCCATTTTTAATAACAGCGGTGAAACCTGATCAAAATGACCATGTGACCACAGCCTTATTTATGTGGGAGCCAAATCGCTTGCTCACAACATTAATGCCAGTAGCTCATGAAGTAGAATGTTTGCTCACAAGACTCCACAGCTTAGAGGGAGCATTGCTCAGAATGCCTACAAACAAAGCCAAGGTCTCCCTCTGCGGTTGCTCTCCAGTCTTCAGAGATTGACTGCCTCTGGACATGGAGGTTCCATTAAGTCACCACGACTAATTGCCATTGATGGACTAATTGTCATGGATGGCCTTTCATGAACTTGTCTCATCCCTTTGAGGATTTAATTTAACAATTAGGAACGAAACTGTTGTACTTAATCAGAACGATGGCTATTACGTTCATTCAAAGTATAAGGGACGGAATGTTGCTTTAAGGTTTTCTAGACCCAAACAAGGATATCACAGGGGGTGTTGAGATTATTAAAGTTTTAACGTTTGATATGTTTATGAACAAGAAAACATTTCCAGCAGTCTTCCCGCTCACCCCACAGACGATAGAGACAGCTCTCCAAACAAGACGTATCAAACATCTGCAAAACATACACAGGGAAACAACAGCTGTGAAGGCAGAAGCAACGTCCTTTATTCCACTTAGAGATAAACCCTCACAAGGGGAAGTTGTCCTTCTAAATTTTGAAATGAACAAATAAAAGAGCTGATCGACGCCCATACTCCCCAATGCAGCTGTTGTTGATTCCACCTTGGCTGTTTTTTTGGGCGTGTGCGTTAGTCAAGGAGAGATATGAACCGAAAAGTGGGATTACAAGGTACGAAAAAGGGCTAATTCACATGTAATTTCCCTCCACGGGCATATATAAGCAGAAAGAAAATGTGTCAGGAAGCATGGGAGCGTTACCACCCTGCAGGTGGCACCTGGAGACATCCCACTGTTACAACTGATCTCCAGATGACCAAGATCAGTTCCCCTGGAGAAAATGGCTGTTTTGGAGGGTGGACTCTGTGGCATTATATACCATGCTGAAGTCTCTCCCCTCCCCAAACCCCACCCTCGACAGGCTCCATCCCCCAAACCTCCTGGTATTTCGCAGCCCTACAGTCAGGGGTCATTTCCTGCAGTGGCTCTCCAGTTGTTCAGGCAGAAGTCTTTCACATCACCTACGGCCAAATCCAGGGGTCATTTCCTGCAGGAGCACACAGGAGCAGAGCTCTGGCAGTAAACAGCCCAGGGGGCGGGCACATGCAACAAGCCCCACCCCCTGCTCCCAGCAGCCCTCAGTCAAAGCAAGAAGCAGCCAGGTAAATTGCAGAGCCAACAGGTCCAAAACAGTCCAGTGGCACCTTTAAGACCAAGTTTTATTCAGGTACAAGCTCTCCCTCCTCTGTGAGGACAGATCTGCACGCCCCCCCCCTCCATAGCTAGCAATCCAAAACAGTCCAGTGGAGCCTAAGGGGTTGGTGTTTCCTTCTGACACACTTCTGGTGATGCCAGGGGGTGTGGCATATGCAAATAAGTTGTGCTAATGAGTTATGCTAATGAGCTCTCCACCTCTTTTTCTACGAAATGACCCCTGCCTACAGTGATATGTAAACATCAACAAGGGTCTTTTTTACTCATTAAGATGTTCACTTGGGACAGTCTTTGTCAAGCCAAGTTTAACTTGTCTTTACATTTCCTTTTTAAAAAAAAATCTCTCCCCCCTCCTTATGTTTTATAGAAACTAGGAGAAACAGCAAGG